GATGGGAATTACAGAGCCCAAACCCTTTAATGCTTCCTCTGGGTGGTTACAGAGGTTTAAGATGCGGAACAAGATCACCAATATAAACATTGGTGGTCAAGAAGCTAGTGCTGACCGTGCTGCGGCTAGGGAATTTCCTCCATTTTTACGTGAGATAATGGAGGAAGGACAGTACACTGACGATCAGGTGTTTAACATGGACGAATCTGGTCTTTTTTGGAAAAAGATACCTTCCAAGACCTTCGTTGTGAAGAATGCCAGCAAGTGTCGGGGCCGGAAGTTGCAGAAGGAGCACATCACCGTCCTGTTTACCACCAATACCTCCGGTACCAGTAAGCTCAAGTTATCGGTGATCCACACAGTCCGCAAGCCGCACACCTACAAGAGCACGGACATGACCAAGCTAAATGTCCACTGGCTGACCGCACGTAAGGCGTGGATGTTCTCTACACTGTCCCTCTTCTGGTTTGATGACTATTTCGTTCCCGATGTAAAGAAATTCTGTGAGCAACAGAATGTGCCATTCAAGATTTTGTTGCTGCTGGACAACGCACCAGGACACTCGCCCCTACTGTTAGATCGTCACCCCAACGTAAAAGTGGTCTTCCTTCCTCCCAACACTACGTCTATATTACAGCCCATGGACCAAGAGTTAATCTGTAATGTAAAAGCTGCATTCTCAACAAAAAAATTCAAGCTCCTGAACGACTACACCAACACCAGGGAAGAGTTGCGTAACCTGAGTGACACCACCACCAATAGCAAGAGCGAAGAAGACGAGGATCAACAGTTGGCGGAGCAAAAAATACTTTTCAAACAATTCTGGAGAAAATTTAACATCAAGAAAGCTGTGGACTTCTTGGTGGAGGCATGGGATCAGCTGTCTGTAGCAACTGTTCGTCACGCATGGAGACATGTGTTGCAAGGCATTCCGGGCGTAAGGCAGAGTCAATCTGTGACTGGTGAGGTTCAGACTGTTGCAGTAGCAGTGGACCTTGCCAGAGAAGCTGCACAGTGTTACAGCTGCAGGCTTCTCCGAGACCACCAACGACGACATCCTGGAGGTGATAAGGGATCCTGATGTGACTACCGACGAGATGGTAGATGATGATGACGTCAGTGAAGAGGCAGGTGGTGGGTCATCCCAAGAAGAACACCGCTTATCCCATAGTAATGTTAGGGGTGCCATCGAGTGTGTTGAGAAAATCAAGCTCCTCCTTTCCGACGACCATGACGCAAACAGGTATGAAATCTTCACTACCCAGCTGTTGCAGACTATGGAGCCCTACTTCAAGGTTTATCACGACAACATAAACACCAGCCGTCAGCAAAGCATAACAGAGTTCTTCGCCCGCAACCCACCACAGCCAGCCCAAGCCAGTGATAGTGATAGAGGTAGAGACAGTGAAGATGACTTTGAGGGATTTGTCAGGGAAGCCCTGACAAATGTGGATGACAGTGATGGTGACTCACTTGAGGGCCAGTAGCCTACCCTCTGCCTCGGAACCAGCCTCCATCCCCGTATGCCGACCCATCTCTTCTACTAACGTAAGTGTTCAACCTAACTTTTAGTTTTCCTAACCTAACCTTTATTTTTCCTAACTTAACCTTTATTTTTCCTAACCTAACCTCTTCTATATTAATTGTTTGTGCATACTATCATAAAGTTAAGATAAAATTTTTACTACAACATAGTTGTGTGTCGTCAAAAAGTGGAGTTTGGGGGTCGGCCCGGTCTCTATTTCAATTAATCCCATATGTTATGTTGTTCACTTTACGCGTTTCTCACTTTCCGCGGTACCCTGTGGGTTATATTAACTGCGTAAAGTGAGGGTTGACTGTACTGTGTCTCACAGAGTCCAAACATATTGACCAAAGGATCACAGGGTCCCCCAGAGCCAAAGGAAAGAAAATAGTAATGCGCATACCTCTCACAACTGTGTCCTATGTTTGACCCCTGCACAGGTCAGAGGTGAGAATGATCCCACCAAACATCACAGGTTTTCTCCGGGTGCTTTGGTTTGTTCCTGTGCTTACACAGGATAAAGTAGCGAAGAACAGACAAACTGCCCAAATGGCTAGTAAGCTGATAATTGAATGAAATAACAAAAAAAAATCAAATCCTTCCTTGATCTGATTGGGGTAACATCCATATACTGTACAGCACTGTACAAAATCTCATGAAAACCATTTTTATTTGTTCAAGTTATGTTTATGAGATGGACATATGGACAAATGTAGTTAACATGTTCCATATCACTCACCTATGGTGTTAGGAGACAAAATCCATATCACATTATTTCACAAAGAACTTCATCTTAGTTGTAAGATATGTACAGTCGACCCTCTTTAAAACGGACTAATAGGGGGGGAGGGTGTCCGTTTTAGCCGATTGTCCGAATTAACCGATTTAGGGGTTAATATTGCATAATATTGCATTATACAGTCATGCGCCGGTTAATGTCCTAGATACGCGCTTGTGTTTGTACAACCGCTTTCATTCAGAACCACTAAAGATATAATGTTATGGTAATTATCAGAAACACACATAGGCATGACTAGGTTTATTACAAAGTGATGAAAAGATACTATACAGTGGGTAGTCCACAAAACATGCAGCTATGTGTATGTTTATTTGAGTGCCCCGTCATAGGAGTCCGTCTTCTCTCGCTTCAGGACGCCTGAGTCCTCTGTTTTCTCTTAATCTTAGAGTGCAGTGCACCAGAGACTTCAATATTCCTTAGTAATGACACAGAATTTGAAATTGCAACCCCAATTGCAACTGGGAAAATCCCAGAACCAGAAATTTGATACGGACAGTCCCTCGCTTAGTTCAGATTACGTCCGATTTATCCGAAATCCGGATTAAAGGGGTCCGAATTAATGAGGGTCGACTGTACTGTACTGTACTGTACTGCACTGCACTATACTGTATTGTACTGAACTGTACTGTACTGTATCGATAAAAGAAAATGAAATAAATGGTATCTTAAGATTGTTTATTTTAATTTACTATTGTATCAATACAATAAAGCAAGTCATAAAGAGTAATAAACCAGTGTTACACATATTACAGTACAGTACTGCTATTACAACTGTCATTTCTAAATACTGTATTGTATCACTTTACAAAAACTATTAATAACAGCCAGGTACTGAATTGGTGGCTATCATAATTGATCTTTTGAATTACCATAAAGTTGGAAAAAAGTAAACAAGCTTGAATTTGGATGTGAGTAAAAAATTAATAACAATACCCAGTGTTATATACCAATGATCAAGTCATGACCACCTAGGAACCCCCAAAATTCCCATAAAAATAAAGACAGTACGTAAAGAGAAAAAATTAGAAAGAAAAGAAAAATGAATTATAAAATTATAATTACTTGTACACAACTAAAAGATCTATAATGGTGAACACATTAGTAAGAAAAAATATCTGTATACAGTATTACCTTTTGTAATATGTTTACTTCAAAATCAACTCATCCATATCTATTAAGGGACTGATGTAAGACAAACAGATGTTTCATGAATATGTGAAGTGACGTCTGTATTTTGCAAGATCTGGCTGAAGATAACACGAAACATTATTTACAGCCACTTCAAAGTATGTATTAATTACAGTATTCTGTCAATACCATTACTGTTGATGAAAAAAATCAACTTTGAAAGATGTTTCCTTTGTAACAAATAGAATCATGTTTACAGGGTATAGCACCGAATAGGTGATTAATCTTCACAGGGGAAACACATACACGTAAGGCACACTTCTCTCCTTCCCGGATCCACCACTACCTCGTGCTCAAATTAAAGTTCATGAGAATATTTCAACTACAGTACTCACATTTATATTACATACATTCAACCTTATTTTACACACTGTACTGGAAGTCTGCCTTTTACATTGCTGAATATATGATTATGTACCATACATAATTCAACAGGATATATCTATAAAATAAAAATCAATGTTAAGATATTACTAGTAGACCATAACATTGGCCATTTCTGAAATATCTTTATTTTCCTGTTGAATAAGTAAAAAACAAAAGCAATACAGGAATGAATATGGCTATAAGTTTTTTGGCTGCTGTACTTAGATACTGTGCTGTATCTGTATCTGTGTACACTTCTACATTTATCATAACTCAGTTCATCATCTCAATCAAATGTACCGTACATCTCAAGTTAATAATCCTGGATGCCATGGATATAAAAATGTATCACTTATAGACAATATAATTTTCTCTTCCATATATCTACTGTACATTACTTCAAGCGACTGGTGAAACAAAAAGTCCTAGTACAGTTCAATACTGTACTGTATAACGATTTCAGCAAGGAACTAATAGGTTGATTTTGTGTTGATTATGATGCCTAGAAACCCTTCTGAACATAAATTAAATTCAGAAAATTCCCCTTGTACTTTTTCTATTTAAGCCATCACTATGAGCAACAGACCTACCTTTTTATTTTGAGACATTCAACAACTTACATTCAGTACACTTCTCTATTCTAACACACTATCCACAATTTACAATCGATACACTTCTATATTCCGAGACATAATTGACAGTGAAATAAAAACTAAACTTAACGTTTCATCTGAATTTTGTCACAGGAAAACAGTCTTCAAAGTTTCAGTCACACAACATCTACTCTTATCCATTCCACAAACTTGCATTTTTTAAATGTACAGGACACCCAAGGCCTGAGGTGTGAGATTATACTGTGCTCCTCACTAGTATGAATGTGTACCCATATTGCAAATGAAATGCAGAACGTGTGTTGTATAGTATTCAGTACACATAAACAACTTTGCAATAACCTAGTTTACTACCAGGGGTTTTACACTTTCATATAAATATCATATATTAGATGTGTTCATTCACTGGGAAGATGAGAGAGGTATGAAGACTGAAGTAGAGCAACTAAGAGTCTGCTCTATGGATTAATGAAAAATAGTAAATAATCACTCCAAGAAAAATCAAAATATTTCAGATATTATTCCCACAATTCTCAACTCCTACTTCAATCCCATGGAAGCGAATCAAGTGCCGTTTGAGGTTGCCTTTCAGGGCTGTGCGGAAATTGCATATATTACAGGCAAACGGCTTCTCCCCAGTGTGTGTACGGAGGTGACGTCTTAAGTCTGATTTCAAGCCAAACCTCTTGAAGCAAAATGGACACTGATGAACAATCCCTCCCCTACTAAAGTCTGTAGAGGCCACACCAGCGGGTACATCCGACGCTGAAGATACTCCAGGAGGAACACCCAACACGGACATCAGCGCGACATCGCCAAAACGTCCGCCATCGCCATCTCTTCCCTAAAACAGGGAAATCATCTCATTCATTCATACTAGACTAAAACCCCATCTTCAGTTCAACTTTATTCATATACGTACTATAATGCATATGGGAAATCATACATACAAGATGCACATCACAGCATGATTATAATACAGTACAGTAATAAGAAATCTTTGAATTGCACTGTCACTACTCAACAGTACTTGTAATTAATTTTACATGAAATTGCACTGCTCATTCACTACAAAGTAACTTTAAGAGTATATCATACCACTGGAGTGTTTCAACACTTTGTAGAGAAACTGAAATATTAGGAAGGCAAAAGAGAATCTGTCCAGAATCATGTAATCATTAAGGACCAAAATTCCTTGCAGAATAAAAATTATTTTTATTTGTATTTTTTTATCGGTGGTAACTAGCCTCTAAATTCTGCAAACGATATTGACTAGTAAAAAGAGTTCCTAGCATAGCATCTTAGTCCTTTGAACACAAATCCCTAAAGCCTGCTACACACGCTCTTATTTATCTCAGAGTTGTTTGTGAAGACAATTCTGAAAATGAGGATGTGTGTGTATATGTGTAGCAGGCTTATGGGATGCTATAGCCCTAAACCATTAATAAACCCAATGAAAACCAACCAACCCAAACCTAACAATTTTAAAATATATTAGGTTATTTTGATTTGTTCAAGTTGCATCCCACCATAAATAGTTTAGTTGATATTTAATTTGTATTTAGACACCAGAGTAAAAACAAATGCCAGTTTTTTAACTACAGTAGGCTCTCATATTTGGACACCTATTTAGACTAAAAGCCTCCCGAAATTCAAATCGTCCAAATTTAAATATAACTTCCTATGGAGTTAATTTGAGCCTGGTACTTTCGATGTTTGGCTAAATTTTGCCTTATTTACCCTACTTTTTTGGCAAATTATTACCTGTAATAAAGCAACATCCTAATAAACCATCGAAAATAACACAGATAAAGTTCAATAAAAACTAAAAACAACACAGAAAAAGTTCTTATGTTCTACAGCTTCAGCTAGAGTTGAACCTGATGACTTGGCAACTTCGTCATCCGAGTAAAAACTCAGACAACAACAATGGCAGTCCTTATGTTTTCAACTTTACCACCACCGGTGAGAAGAATTTTTGTTTTAAATTCAGAAACATTAATTAAAACATATATGAACAGTATTAAGTGTTGCTTTCATATTCTTATGTAGAGTAATGACGATACGTTTTCACATGTGCGCACTTACATACTCGCAGTCTCACTTTTTTCTTTACCATTAATGGTTAGCTACTTCTATTGTTCCATTTATTAACATTACTTAAAACAACCATATTATTTTTTTTTACATTAATTTTACTACAGCTACAACCAGGGTCTTACTTTCTTCAGTTTTATATGTAGAACCAGTCAGTCACTGGTTTTGTAATCATTAACGAAAACAATGCTGTCTCGTCTTCTCGTGTGTTTTAATATTCTACATATTATTAATGAATTGTATTGTTCATTTTGCACACTCAAACCCGTTGAGATTCGAGTTTCCGCCGTAAAAATTTTAAATTGTGTAGTGTTTTTTTTGTGTACAATAAAAAACATTGAATTAAAAACTTGCAAAATTTGAGAACCTACTGTACATAAAATATACTTAATGTCCCCTTATGTTGTGCTAAGTGGCATGTCTTCTCATGAATCTTCTGCCCTTTGGGCATAGTTACCAGTAATTCTAGTCACCAGAGGTGGCAAAACTAGGAATACAGTAGAACGTCAATATAACACGAGATATATTCCAAGAGAGGTCGCTTTAAATCGAAGTGTTGTTTCAATGGAATAATTTAGTTTGGTACTTGAGAGAAACAAAATACTAAAAAGACTGAGAGTCTGCCCAGATGCACCTCAGCCCATCTCCTAGAATAAACAAAACATTGTTTTTTGTAGTATTATGTTAAAACAAACACTCATTAATCAACACAGCTAAAATTATGGGACGTGAAATGGTCTGTTTACTAGCGATCAGCTGATGGGAAGAGGAAGGGGGAGGGAGGTGAGGTGATATGTTTGACAGTTGATGCCAAGGTCTGGTGCTTATTTATTTATCTGTCCTTAAGAGCAACTTTAAGTTTTTCTTTTATAAAATGTCACTGAACTGACATGTTCTAATTACAGTAATTTTATTACAAAGGGCTAAAATTTTTATCGCTTGTGCAAAATATATGACGTTTATATTCAAATTATTTGCTGTCTTGCAAGGATTCTAGCAAGCAAATTGTATTCTCCTAAAATGGGGGGGCAGGGGGGAGGTGACAGTGACACCTTTGACAGTTGGCGCCAAAGGTCTAGTGAAGTATTTATTTGTTTATTTTTGTCCATTAGATTGAGTTTTGTTTTCTGCTTATAAAATGTCATAGAAGTGACCGGGGAGAATATAATTTACATTGCTGGAATTCTTATAAGAGAATGATTTTTGAGTACATGTACAGTACAGCTTTGCCCTTAGGACAGTGTAGCGTGCCCAGAGAAACATTAGGCACAAATTTTAAAATATGATGCTCGCGCAAAATAGGAAAGATTTGATTTAAATTAAAACATTGTCCTTAATTGTGGGAGTCGCTTTGAATCAATAATCGTAAATTGAATCGCTTTAAATCAACGTTCTCCTGTACTATAACAACTCTTCTTCTCTGCATATACAGTAAAACACTTTCGAGCACAATTTAACTGTGAATGTAGTACCGTATATCCTTTAGTTTTACTCCCCTTCAGTTAATGGACATAAATATTTATTTTTCCAGGTAACAAATTTCCTTAGATTGTTTAATAACACTAATTGTAAGTTTGAATACTGCATGCAATGTGGATGAGCTGCCATATTTACTGCTATAATAAACAATAAAATCAATACATAGCATATCATAAAATCATTCAGCACATATTTGATGGAAGAAAAAAAAACACCTCTTCCCATACTCAAACCATCCTCTGGGCAACATGACAGTTCAGACAGTCACTCAGCTGTCTCAAAGACATGTGGCTGATGCGCTGGCTGTGTGTATGCTGTGACGTCACATCTGTAGGGAGCGAGGCCATGCAATTATGGCCCAGTAACCCACCACCTCAACACACATTCACTTCCCACGTACAGGTATACACACCCATGCTCTTCATTTTTCTTATTTTATAGTTTTATATTATATTTTCTTTATTTCTAAGCCACATAAGAGTACTGTATTGCAATGATTTTTCAACAACTTTTATAGTTTCATTACATGTAACAATGAACGCAGTGAACGCGGCGGGTGGGCTGGCGAGTCGGCGATATAGTTATAGCCCATGGCCTCCACACACATTCCCTTCTCACAAGTACACACCCATGCTCCTCATTTTGCTTATTTTATAGTTTTATACTGTACTTTATTTTCTTTATTTCTAAGCCACTCGTTTATAAAGAGTGGAATATGTGTTAAAGAAGTCCACCTTTCTGAGACACAAATGTGTGAGGTCAAGCTGTAGCAGTGTTCACTGTAGAATTTATTGGGGGATCCGAAGAGTAGGTTTCAGCTAATCGAAAAAAACGTCGTTACCCTGCACCTCTCATTCCCCACAGGTGCCGGATAACCTGGATTCTACTGTACAGTATACAGGTCAGTAGGTTTGCAATTTATTCTAATGATTTGACCTCTGGCTGTCTTCGATGTTACCTGTCCTGATACAGTACTCATTTCAGTTTACACCATTAATTTAATGTACTGTACACCTTTTCATTTGACGTCAGATTCTAACTTAACAAATTATTTGGATGTCCCTGAGTGATAATCTTGTACAGTACAGTATTATATCATATTATTTCCTTTGAAAATATACTAAAATTTTAACTACAGTACATGATTTTTTCTTACAATATTCTTATGAAAAACTGTTTATGCATTTATTAATTAATTTCTGTTATAATTTCACAAAATTAGGTTACAGTACCGCTGTAGTGGATTCCTCCCCTACAAACGCCGTTTGTCGCTGACGAGCCGACCCACGAATTCAGCCGGCGCTGCCTCATGTCCAAGGTCAGCAACCAGCACCGCCATACACCACGGAGGTCAACTATTAAGCCACGCCTACCTCCGCTATATAAGACCTGACCTCATGGTGACCTGTCCCTTTCTACTCACAGACACCAGCAAGCAACACCTCCTCCTCCACTCCTGCCTGGTGGCCCTCGCTCCAGCCGGCGACCATGGCGTCCCACACCTCGTGGTGACCACTCTTACTACCCACAGCCACTGGCAAGCAACATCTCCCCCTCCTCCTGCCTGGCGGCCCTCGCTCCCGCCGGCGACCCACAAGCTGGTCCTCCTCTGAGCACCCTCACCAACCAGCTCTCTCTACATCACGCTTGTAACCACGCTGCCACTTCCCAGCACCAAGCTGCACTGTACATCCAATACAACATATATACAGAGAGCACATTGTGAGTTTCCTTTCTACATCCCATCCTGAGTGTGAACCAAATAACCCGTACCCCACAAATGGTGACCCCCGGAGATTCGCACTCACACAGGATGGAGGAGAAACCGATCACTCTCCCAGTCTTCAAGCAACATGGAAGACTGGCTTATCCACACAGAGGCAGTTCTCATCGGCTCTACAGCTACTGTCTCTACACCGCAGGTTAGATACCCTAGAGCAGCAATGCTTCTCTAAGCAGACACCAGCTCCTCTTCCTGCCCCAAGCACCACGCCCTACTGATCCCAGCAGGCGCATCTGAAGACTCTGTACCTGCCGCGACGGAAGCACAGCATTCATCGCCCCCACACACAGTTTTTTTTTCCCTCAGGTATTCCCTGCTACTGTCATGCACCCTGCTGCTGTCGTGGACCCTGATGCTGTCATGCACCCTGCTGCTGTCATGGACCTTCTGACCCAGACCCACACACCCTTTTTCTCCCTCTCTTCTCCCACAGATCTCGTGTG